GGAGCCCCAGTCAGTCCCTGGGGGGAGGCCAGTGAGGGGGCCCTGACGCTTGGTCTCCACCCGGCCCCGGGTGCCTCCAGCCTGGGAACCTGCCCCAGACCCTGTAATTAACCAAACCAGGTCTGGGCAACGTGAAAAACGAGCCCAGGGCTTTCACTGGCCCTTGACCCCACGGGCTGGGGACACCAGCAGCCCGGGCTGGTTAAACTGGGGTGTGTGTGTGTTGTGGGGGGTGGGGTGTCCTGGTGACCAGGGAAAGGGTAACCAGGAGTGTCCTCTGCTCTCACTTTGTAGGGTGGGGTGACAAGAGGATGAGGGGGCTCCTACCAACCTTCCCAGGAGTTACTGATTATTTGCCCACCCCTCAAATGGCCAGGCTGGGCAGGAGGACTTTGCTCCCCAGCATCCCAGCAGCTTTTGGGGGATGGCAGCCCCTGTCACCCTGCCCCTCCCCCCCAGGTGAGGGGGACTGTCCTTCTGGGGAGCACAGAGTGTTCCCTGGGGTCCTCTTGCTCCACACAGGGTGGTGGGACCTGGATGGGGGGGACCAGAGAGCTCTGCAGACCCCTCCCCTATTAGCCCCCTAATCCTTGTCCCCTGGGGGGACAGGTGGGAGGTGCTCTCAGCCCCCCCTCCCCATTCCCTGCACAGGAAGGGGGTGCAGCAAAGGCCTCAAATATGTGTGTTTTAGTGTCTTTAACACCAGTAGAGCAAAGGGTTCTGGGGGGCAGGGACTGGTCCCCACTCCAGTGGGGCTCTGGGCACAGGGTCCCAGCTCAGCACAGGGGTTGCCCCCATTGTGGCTACTAGCCATAGGCTACTGAACCAGGTGTGTGGGGGCAAGCAGGGGCTGCTGCCCATGCCCACGCTGCCTGCAGAAGGCTCAGCCAGCCCTGAGTGGGGCTGGGGGGCCTGCAGGACCCACAGACTGGCTTGTCCCTTGTCCCCAGCTCTCATGACCTCCCTGCTGGGGCTGGCCAGCTCCTGGCCACCTTCAGGGCCAGCTGAGGCTGCTGTCACCCCCAGGCAGGCCCTGGGGTGGGCCAGGCTTGCCCTGGGTGGCTCTTTTTAGGGTTTTTTTTAGATTTTAGGAGAGGATTTTCATTCCCCCCACCCACCCATGGAGCAACTCACAGCTCTGTCCTGGAGCCAGCAGCTCCCAACCTGTCCTGGCACAGACACCTGGGGGGGGTCACACTGGCCCCACCCTCTGGATTTGATCCCATCTAATCCATCCTGCAGCCCTGGTGAAGGAGGGGACACAGCAAACCCCAGCTTGGTGGATGCACCCAAACCCCAAACCAAGCTCAAAAACCCCAGGGTCCCACAGGAGGTCAGGGTGGGCTCAGCCCCTCCCAGCACCAGCTCTGGAGGGGCTGGGGCAGGTAGGACCAGCTCAGCAGAAAACCTGCCCCCTCTCCTCAGGGACGTGCCTCATTTGGGGTGACTAATCCTGGCCCTTTGCCCTGGCTGGTTGCTCAATGGGAGTGACAGGAGCCAAAGTGTCACCTCCCTCAGCCCCAGGAGCCTTGGAGGGGCCATCCCCTCCCAGCGTGGGGACAAGTGGCTGCAGGAGCAGGCTGCATTTCACACCCAGGCTCCCTGGTCATCCCTGCCCACTGCAGAGCCCTTTCCTGCTTCCCCCGTTGACCAGGAGCAGGGAATATCATCCCCACTGAGCTGCAGGTCCCAGTTCAGCCCCTGCTTTCCCAAAGCTGGGAAAAGCCCCCTGGGGTGAACAGGTGGCACTTTGCAGGCTGTGGCTCTTTCAGCAGCTCTAGTGCTTGGACACAGCAGAGGTTCTCTCAGCTCAGAGGTTTCCATTTCCATCTTCTCCAGCAAGGCTGGGGCTGCAGATCCTGCCTGGATATTAAAAAAAAAATACCCCCCCCCCCCAAAAACCAGCCACAAGAGCTTTGATGGCTCTTGCATAACTCCAGCTTGACCTGACAAAATCCTTTAAAGCCACCAAATCTCTCAAAGCCATGAAAAAAAAACACAACACCATAAAAATTCACTCTTTCATTTTCTTTCTTGCTGTGATCAGGTCTTACACCTCTGCACAGCAACTGCAGGGCTCCAAGACAAGGCCAGGATGGAGCTCCAGTGATGGGTCCATCAGCTTCCAGCCCCGGAGAACTGGAGTGTGTGGTCACCAGGTTCCAGCCAGGAATACCCAGGGGAAGTCCTTGGGGTCTGGGGAAAAGAACTCAGGCCTTGGAAGCAGAGAGGAATTTTGGCTTTGAAATGTCAGGAGAGTCTTTTTCATTGCAAACTGAGCTGTTCAAAGCCAAAGAGAGTGTCTGTCCATGTGTATGTGTGTGTCTATGTGTGTCTGTGTGTCTATGTGTGTCTGTCTGTGTGTCTGTGTCTCTGTGTGTCTGTCTATGTGTGTCTGTGTGTCTGTCTGTGTCTGTGTGTCTGTGTCTCTGTGTGTCTATGTGTGTCTGTCTGTGTCTATGTGTCTCTGTGTGTCTGTCTGTGAGTGTCTGTGTCTCCTCACCCCACCCCCAGCTCCTCTTTGTCTCCAAATCCCAGCCACAAAACTGGGAGATGCAGGAAAATTCAGTTTTGATCCCCCCTACAAGACCCTCCCCACCCAGCTGCCCCCCCCGGCAGGTGGTGGGAGCTGCTCAGGAGCAGCCCCAGAGCTGCTGCTTTTGTGCAAGGTCTTGGGCAAGAGGAGCTGCTGAGTCTGCAGGGCTGGGAGCTGGGATCCCATTCCCGGGGCTGAGGGACCTGTCCCAGGGTGCTCAGGGTGGACTCTGTGCTTTCACCACCCCGACCTTCCCCAGTCACCACCCTGATGTCCCCAAGCGGCTGTGGTGGCACCTGAGGCTGGAGCTGCTGCTGCCACCACCGGGAGCTGCGGCGGGAATGGTGGAATCCCAGACTGGTTTGGGTTGGAAGGACCTTAAAGACCATCCAGTCCCACCCCTGCATGGGCAGGGACACCTCCCACCAGCCCAGGTTGCTCCAAGCCCCATCCAACCTGCCCTTCAACACTGCCAGGGATGGGGCAGCCACAGCTTCCCTGGGCAACCTGTTCCCAGGTCTCCCTCCCCTCACACGTTCCTTCCCCACCCTTGGAGCACCCAGGGATCCAGGCCTGGGTGCTGGGCTGTGTGGAGGCTTCCTGAGGTGCTGAGCTCCACCAGGCTGGAAAGACACCAAATCCTAGAACTTCTCCCCCTTTTCTCAGGACTCCTCTTTTTTTTTCCAGGTGACGTTTCCACCCTGGTCTGACCTGTGCAGGATTTTTGAGGGTGGGAGCCAGAAAGGAGGGGGAAACCCCCGAGATTTGGGTTCTGGAGAAACCACTGGAGTGAGCAAACCTGGCAAAGGCAGGAGACTGAGGGCAGGGAGCTGCTGGGAAAGGCAGGACACGCCGGGAACGTGCCCCAGCTGAGTCACACCGGCCCTTTCTGCAGCCAACGCCGCCAAAAAAAGCCGAGCTTGCAAGTTTGCTGTCAGCGTCCGGCCCCCGGAGAGGGGCAGGGGGAGTGACCTGCTCCCCCTCTCCCTCCCTCTCCTTCCTTCCCTCCCTCCAGCCAAGGCTTTGTCTGCTCAGGAAGATCAGAGGAGCGGGATCTCGGCGCTTTCCTGCCAAGCACCCAGCTGGGACGCTCCCACCAGAGGCTCTTTCCCCCGGGGCTCTGCAGCTCTTCTCGGGTTTGATTTATTCAGGCTCAGCAAACTCCCAAGATGAAAGGCAGCCAGGGCAGCGTTTTATTAAGAAAGAGGCCATCATTATTTAAAAAAAAAACAAAACCAACCAAAAAAAAACCCAACCACCAACACAAAACCAAAACAAAACCAACCACCTTTCTGTCCTTCCCCGGGACAGAGGAGAAACTGCTCAGCCTGGATGGAGCACGAGGTCCAGGAGGACTCAGCCTCAAGCAGTAAATCCAGCCCTTGTGGCTCAACTCTGGCTGCACCAGCAGCTCCTGCTTTTTTTTTTTTGTCTGGCTCAGGCTTGGCCGTGCTGGGGAGGAGGAGACTTGGCAAAGCTCAGTGTTCCCTTCTCTTGCCTCCCCCTTTTTGCCTCCACCTGACAAAATCCCGGTCATTCCTAAGGGAAGACCTGGCTCAGCCTGCACCCAACCAGCACCTTCCTGCTAAAAGGGTCAAATCCTTCTGGAAAGGGAGGCCAGCACCCAGCCCTGGGAAGGCTCTCACTTGGGTCTGAGTCACGGGAATGCAGAGATCCCTTCAGCTCCTGGCAGGAAAAGCAGAGGTGTGAAACCAGGGAGTGCTGGGGAGGAGGAGACTTGGCAAAGCTCAGTGTTCCCTTCTCTTGCCTCCCCCTTTTTGCCTCCACCTGACAAAATCCCGGTCATTCCTAAGGGAAGACCTGGCTCAGCCTGCACCCAACCAGCACCTTCCTGCTAAAAGGGTCAAATCCTTCTGGAAAGGGAGGCCAGCACCCAGCCCTGGGAAGGCTCTCACTTGGGTCTGAGTCACGGGAATGCAGAGATCCCTTCAGCTCCTGGCAGGAAAAGCAGAGGTGTGAAACCAGGGAGCAGCTGTGCAGGGGTGGGTGTGTCACAGATCCATGGCTTCTTCTTCCAGGGCTTTGTCCTGGGATTGCACATACTTCTCCTGCACTGCCAGGGTGCTGATAAGGCAGTAATTAAGGAAAACAAGGGGCTGGGCTCCCAACACTCCCTTCTGCAAGGAGCTGGTAACATTCTCAGTGAGGAACCTGCCCCACATTAGCCCTGAGGTGGGCAGAAGAGGCAGAGCTGGCAGCAGCACAGACCAGCCCAATTATTCCTGGCTCGGGCTGATCCCAGACCTGACAAGAACAGGAGAATCCATTGTAGGGTTGGGATGAGGTGGAAGGAACCAGCCCAAGGGAGTGTGAGAGAGAGAGGGGAAGTTCTCCAGAGATTCCTCCCACCCGTCACAGGATCCATTAGCAACAAAAGGTGGTGGCTTTTGGTGTGGTCAAGTGGTTGCTGAGGCCAGGGCTGAGCCCCAGCAACTCGGGACACATGTGGCACCTGCACACTGCCAGCCCCTCCTCCAGGGCAGGAGACCAGAACTCCAGAGAAGTGGAGTGGAGAAGGATACGAAGTGAAGTGGAAATCAGCTCCCACTGCTGCAGACATCAGAGCTTCCAGGCTCCTGTGCTCCTGGTCTCCAAAGGAGTAACCGTTGGCTTTGTCCACTGCCTGCACCACCTGCCTCATGCTCTGCTTATCCTGGGGGGAGGAAGGTGACACACTGGGAATCTGGGCTTTCCCAGGAGGCAGGAGCTCATGGGGGGCTTTATCATGGATCTCCTGCACCCACCCACTGCCCCCAAGCCCAGAAGGAGCAGGGGACAAGCAGGGACCTGAAGTCATAAGGGGCTGACACCTCCACCCTCTCATCATCTCTTGGCTCAGCCCCCTTCCCTGTGTCCACTCCTGCCAAGCACCAGGTGAAGGACCTGGTGGAAAGAGTCCAGAGGAGGCCACGGGGATGGTGGGAGGGCTGGAGCAGCTCTGCTCTGAACACAGGCTGGGAGAGTTGGGGTGTTCAGCCTGGAGAAGAGAAGGCTCCAGGGAGACCTTAGAGCACCTTCCAGGTCCTGAAGGGGCTCCAGGAAAGCTGGGGAGGGACTTGGGACAAGGGCAGGGCAGGGAGAGGACAAGGGGGGTGGATTAAAACTGGCAGAGGGAGATTGAGGTTGGACATGAGGAGGGAATTGTTGGGTGTGAGGGTGGTGAGAGCCTGGCCCAGGTTGCCCAGGGAAGCTGTGGCTGCCCCATCCCTGGCAGTGTTGAAGGGCAGGTTGGATGGGGCTTGGAGCAACCTGGGCTGGTGGGAGGTGTCCCTGCCCATGCAGGGAGTTGGGACTGGATGATCTTTAAGGTCCCTTCCAACCTTAGCCCTTCTATGAAAGATCTCAGCTCTCCCTCCCAAATGTGTCCCTCTAATCTCCTCATTATTTTATGGTCCTGAATTTAACAAGGTTTTTTAGGTAGGACTTTACCCAGAATCTGAAATGCAGGAACAGAAGAGCTGGATGAAGGGAGAGTCTTAATCCTCCACCCCAGGAGAGGAGGCCCAGATGGCCCCAAGCTCATCTTTGGCTGCCACAGATCATTAACAAGTCTGGGTGTGTCTCACCACCCTCCTCCATCCCCAGCCTCTTCCCAGCTCAGGTTTCCAGCCCTCGTGGCTCTGAGCAGACACAACCCAGCTGCTGCCAAGGGTCCTGACCTTAAATCCAGCACCCCCTGCTCCTCACCTGGACGTTGAGGGGGACGAAGGACACCAAGCTGTAATCCTGGATCACCTCCACCAGCTTCTCGTTGAGGCGGCGGTAGTTCCTGAAGAAGGGATCTGAAGCCAGATGGTCGACCAAGTAGGAGAGGTCCAGGACCTCTGTGTAATAATCCAGGTTGAAAGCTGCAGGGAAACACCAAGAAGCTCTGAAGGCAACAGTGAAGAACCCTCCTCATAGAATCATGGATGGTTTGGGTTGGAAAGGACCTTAAAGATCCTCCAGTCCCACCCCCTGCACAGGCAGGGACACCTCCCACCAGCCCAGGTTGCTCCAAGCCCCATCCAACCTGCCCTTCAACACTGCCAGGGATGGGGCAGCCACAGCTTCCCTGGGCAACCTGGGCCAGGCTCTCACCACCCTCACACCCAAGAATTTCCTCCTCATGTCCAACCTCAATCTCCCTCTGCCAGTTTTAATCCATCCCCCCTTGTCCTCTCCCTCCCTGCCCTTGTCCCAAGTCCCTCCCCAGCTTTCCTGGAGCCCCTTCAGGCCCTGGAAGGTGCTCGAAGGTGTCCCTGGAGCCTTCTCTTCTCCAGGCTGAAAAGCTCCCCAGCCATCTCCCAGCAACACCAAACCCAACTCCTGGTGTTCTCACCCAGTTTGCCATACTGCTCGATCAGGTCCATCTTGGAGAGGACATTGACATGAGGCAGCTCCACGTGCAGCATGGTGGACAGGGACGTGCAGAGCACAGAGATGAACTTGCCCGGGTCAGTGCAATAGTGAGAATCCACCAGGTGCACAGCAGCCAGCTGGGAGCACAGGGACAAGGGACAGCAGAAGGTCAGGCCTGTCAGGAGTCCACCCACTTCCTTTTGAGACAGTCTGAGAAGTGGCTGTAGGACAATCTGCACAGACCTGAGTGCCACCACAGGGACTGCCAGGTGGGGAAACTGACCCCCTTCCTCTTGCATCTAAAAAAGCTTTTTATACTAGTAGACACATGTATATAAATCAAGGACTGGTTTGGGTTGGAAGGACCTTAAAGGTCACCCAGATCCAGCCCCCTGCATGGGCAGGGACACCTCCCACCAGCCCAGGTTGCTCCAAGCCCCATCCAACCTGCCCTTCAACACTGCCAGGGATGGGGCAGCCACAGCTTCCCTGGGCAACCTGGGCCAGGCTCTCACCACCCTCACACCAAAGAATTTCCTCCTCATGTCTCACCT